CGTCTCGTCTCAGTCCCGGCGCCGAACCAAACAATCCGCCATACAAAATATTCTTTAATAGAAATATGCCGCCGGCATTCACATTCATCAGTTGACGAACAGTTTTCCAGCAGTATGGTTTCGACACGTCTATCGCCCGGCCGATTTTATAATTAGCGACGAATTTTTTGGTTTTGCCGAGAACATGACGGGCAGTACAAGTGAACAAAATAAAATTTTTGACGAACAATTAATAGAATGTTTAAGAAAATATAACGTTTTATATGATTTGTCGCATGCAAAATACATGGACATTAATTTTAAAAATAATGTTTGGCAAGAAAGCAATTTTTGGACATCCTACAATATTTATGAAATTTTACATCATCACGAAGCAGTTCTTTATACAGTGTCACGTATTCTCCTTCGGTATTCCTTTTTTCCATGCGTCATGGATCCATTTCCGTCTTTTTGCTTGGTTTGCTTGCGCTTCTTCTTTGAATTGACTTTATATGATTACTCAGACCAAGCTCCGTCAGCTACTACGCTTATATAAGGAATACCATTCTCGTCAATTTTCATTAAACTTGTTGCTAGTCTTGCTTTTTCTTGACCAGCTTGCCGTATAACTTTGAAATTGGTAGATCTAATTAGTTTTGACACATTTTCGTGATAAGGACTATACGTGTTTTCTGCCATATAAGGCATGTTGATGGCAGCAGATAATTCTTGTAACGTGGAAAACTCAATTCCAGTTGACACAGTTCCCAAATTTTCAGAATATATCTGCTATGTAACATTACACATTTTACATTTTAGCGTAAAAGTTGATATGAAACCTTTTTTAATTTCTTAAATTACTTCCATATTTGTAATATTGCAATTGAATAGCTTATGATTTTCTGTACTAAAAATTTGTTGAAAAAAATCACCAATGTCGTATTATCCTTCGGCCACTTCAGGTTCAGGGAGAATACTAAAATAAATTGTTAATTATTAATTAATTTATTTAATTAAAATATTTTTAATATATTAATTTTAATTAAACAATGCTTCACTATGAATCAACACTAATGAATTCCAATACCCTAGAAAATAATACACTACTGCATGAACAGATATCTATACAGATAACAGAGCAGAATCGTGCTATCATTTACACAGAAACATCGAGCAAAAAGACAAAAGAGGGAATCTAATCCTTATGAAAAGGAGACCAAAAAAGTGGCCTCTGATGGCGGACATATCCGGAAATGCGAATGCTCCATATTTAAATTTTCCGACACTTATTAACAGTAGCTATATAATATTTTTCAGAATGTGTCTTAGACGAGAAAGTTTTAATTAATTATTAACGGTAATAGTCTAAAATGCGACACAATTGTTAAAAAACTTCAATATAAATAAGATTTCATGTGACATTTGGGACAAACAATAACATAACCCAACTAAATTTGATGTCAAACAAGGAGAGAGACTCTCTTTCCTTGTTTTAATGTGGCCTCTAAAGATCGCACTTCCTGTCTAACAATATTTTTGCCCCCACTACCTTTACATTCCCCCTTTTGTCTTTTTGCTTGATGCACAGAAAACAGACGTAGGTGTGCAAATATGATGGCGCTGACTATTTCTCTATGTTGCCAAATCACTCAGTTAAGTTCGATTTCTTGTTATAGATAATCGATTTTAATACATAATTCCAATATGACACAAAATCTAGGCATGGGATAAAAAAGTTTATTTGAAGAAAGTGTATTTTTTTGGTTTTCTTAATGGCGGTACAGACTCGTTTTTGTAATATTTATATTCAATTATAGAGTAAGTTGAATTTATATTTGAAATTTTCATTTTATTCGTATTTTTTCGGTTGTGACATAATTAAATACTTGATTTTTTGAAAAAATTGTTATTGTTTTGATAATCGTTTAAGACAAAAACGGCCAAATTCCTAAAAACTATTTTCAGCATATTTTTGTTTCTATGGTTTATCTGTCGATTGAAAATTATTTGAGTAGTAATGTCATTATTAATGTCTTGTAGTTAGCATAAATTCTGCTGTTGTAACAGTAATTTTGGCTGTTTTATAAGATAGCGGTGGTCAGCGCAAAACTGCGAGAAGTGTTGATGTAAGTCTCTTGATTGTGCAACAAGTAATACTACAGTACCAACTAACCGGTCTTCTCGTTTTGAAGAAACATAGTATATTGGATAGATCTGCAAGAAGTGAAAAATGTAAGCATAAGTGAGTGGACAGTTGGTAGGCGACTTGCATTATCTTCTCGAACTAGAGATACTATACCTTCGCTTTCCCATAAACATAGTCTTGTCAGATTGAAGTTTTCAAGAGAACACTTGACTTGAATAATTGCAGATTAGAGTCTTGTATTCTTCTTCTTCGCTTCTTCTTTTTATGTAGACATGACTCGGTTCCAGACTGTCAGAAACCCATTCCAGAAGTGGCATGCTATGGTCTTCAATCCATTTTAAACTCTTTTTTAAGGTACGACAACCTGCGCCGTTCTGTTGTCTTCCGCTGATATTAAACGGTGTTCTATAATCGGTAAAAGAGATTCTTCTAAAATATTCAAATATTTGTCCGTGTTTACAATCCCATCGATAAAATGTAACTTTCCCATACGTTTAGACGACATGCTGCCCCAGATAATGACAGATGCTGAAAATTTGACATTTCTCTTCAGACTGTTGGGGTGGAAAGCTTCATTTTTTCCTGCGAATGACGCGATTTCTACTGTCTCCAACACACAGTTCAAATCTGGACTCATCACACCATTGTATTGAATCCCATTGCGAGTGAGTCCAATCTTTATGCTCTTTTGACCATCTTGGTCAATTTTTCTTTCGTTGTAATGATAAAAGTGGCGTTTCCTTAGCCTAAAATAAAATGAAATGTATTAAAAATAATTCATACAAATTTTTTCAACTATAAAACTTACTTTGTAAGTACCAAATCCTAATTTGTGGGCCTCTCGGTGATATGTTGATCTAGAAACGTGTCTTCTACAATACTACAAATACATTTGACATTAACTGACAATGTTATTGTTTTAATGTCATTTTTCCATAAATCCTCTGGATTTAATTATCAAAAAAATCAATGTATGTCGACATAAGTGAATGCATAGCCAGGGTTTAGTGAAATTTTTTTTATTTGTTGAAAATAAATAAAAAACCATAAGGGTAATGTTTTTAATAGAGTAATAAAAATGCCATATTAATTAATATGGGGACTTATAAAAACATGCAGAGTATAATTTGTTTATGCTAATCGACTTAAACTGCAAATTCCATAGGTGGGCCAACTGATATTAGAAGGAGCTCGTAAATCCATCCTTATTTTTACATTTTCTGAGCCTTGGTTGTAACTCTTTTCTTGCACTTATTCAGAGATTTATAGAATTTTCTGGTTTAATAAAATTTTTATAATTTCGTTGCTTTTCCTGAGTTCTTTGCTGCATAAGTTCATATGCATAATTATTTCTTCGGGTAATATCGTCACACTCAGCATCGAACCAGTCATTACGTGGTGGCCATTCAAGTCCTAGAATAAATAAGTGAAGTATTGGTCTTACTCGAGTGAGCAAAACAGGAATGCACAGAACTACTTGGTATTTTTAAATTTGACTTCTGGTATGTCATTCACCAGATGAACGCATGATACTATTACTTCCAAGATAAACCCACTTCGCAATCGAATTTTGTACGTCGACGCGCATGACGTTACTTGGTGATAAAAGTTCCACTTTTATCACCAACCTTTTATCATCACAGTCGGTAAAACATATATGGAAAAAGAGAGGGTTTTTATTTAAATATTTAGAATATTTAAGGATGTTCGGTAAAATATCTGCAATTAAAACTTAAAAATATGTTATATATACATCTCTGTTAACCCAATGTAAATTAATAGAGTTTAAATAGATAATAAAATTATATAAAAAAGTGGGAACTAAACATCCTTTTAAAAATGGAAATTTATATACAATGGATTGATGTATTAAAATAAAAATTTAATACAACTGATAAAATAAAGTACACTGTAATAATTTACAAGTTTATTTAACAATTTATTTTACATTTTTTAATATTTTCTTCTTCTTAACTTTGTATTTTTACATTTAATATATCTATTCAATTTTCTAATTTTAAAATATAATTTACACCTAAAAAAATATGTTTGACATCTAAACTTACGTTTACTAACACAGCTAAATCCATTAGCTATTTTAAATAATTCTTGGTTAATTTTAATGACCCTTTGTTAAAAATGCTAAAAATATGGTGCAGTTCATTACATTTAATTAGAAAATCTGGATATGGTTTAAGTAAACCTCCTTCAGAAAGATGGTTTACCCAGTAAACCGATGTCAACGTACAAGATAAACGATAAAACAATACTCAATCTGACAAAACTCCATACAACTCCATTTTAATTATCTAATATGGTTTTTGAGTAAAATTGTGGACAAGAAAAGGGCTTAGCGTTTTAGTATATAAGATTGCCATGATGATCTCCAACATACGTCACGGATAGGCACATCAAGAAGAAGATGTCATTCACGAAGTTCCAATTAATGAAAACAGTTAATGAACAATTTAGTGTTATTTGATATAATTTTATCCGATCGTGGGTGTTGATAGAGCGATTTTTTTGTGTGTGTTAGCATAGTGAGCATCCGAATTTTAACTTGTAATTTTGTTAATAATAAACATATTTCTATGAAATTTTGACCATATCTATTAGAACGTCTATGAATTCAGTGACGTAGTAGTTTATTGTTGATAATTCCCAGTTTTCGACCACAAGAAAGTATCTTTTGTTTGCCATAAAATTCGAATTAAAAAATATTAAAACGTTGTCAGGAAATAGACCTTTCACTACTTGACATTAAAAAAAAATGATTGAAATGCGTCTAACTGGGTCACACTGTATAACTTTATAAATAGACTAATTATATAAATATAATTTGTTATTACCTCGATAAATGGTTAATTATTTGTAGGTAGCCGAGAAAATCTTTATGTAAATATCGACCGATTCAAATCGCCTTCCAAAACCGACTTAACTGCCCATAATTCAAGTTCACATAACCTAAATGAAACTACTCGTTCCGTCCATGGTCTTGACAATACGCAAATGTCAAACATTCAAAACGTTACTGATTCGCCTAAACCTCTTGACAAATCTTACGTCAAAGCCTCATCAAGTTTGAATAATAGTGGCTCATCATTTATTGATACGAGTAACAGTATAGCGAGCGAAAGCTATAATGATACTAATTCAATATCGAATGCGAGTTCGACTAAATCGAAAAAGAAACGATGGGGGATTTTGATGGGAAGGAGTAAGTCGGGAGAAAAAGTTTAAAAGCGCTACTTTAGGAAGGGAGAAGAAGAAGAAAGAGGAAGATCAAGCTCAAGGAAACAATAGACATAGATGGTCTACTGGTTTGCCGAGATTCAATCCTTTACCACCATCTATAAGTAAAGAAACAATGGTAAGTTGATAGCGACAATTATTCAATCCCATATATTTTAACCAGGCAACGCCCTTAATTTTTTTTGTGTATGTTTGCTTTTTTTTCAAAAACCATTAAAAATGGTTTAGAAAACACTAGAAAATATTTTTAAAAAAATTTTGACAATGCTAAATATTGAATTTACCCCGTATCCATATGGACCACGTGGGCATTAAAAGAATAAACCTATTAAATCACAGAACAAATATGACAAAAAAATTAATACATTTTTATTGAATGAAAAACATATAAATACAAGTATAAAAAAGTACAAACTAAGTATAAAAACTAAATTCATTTTTTTAAAGTGATAGGTTACAAAACATGATCCAACAAAACACATAATCCAACATTATATTTGATGCATATTGTTCTCACTTTACTTTTACAACTTTTTTACCCACATCTTCGTCTTTTACCATCTTTAGTATAATCTACCAAATGTCCAATGTTATCGTATCGTATGTCAGGTATTACTTTTCTCGAGTTAGCTTGGGGATTACATTTGGTCCTGGTCGTAAAGTAATAGTTTGGTATTTTGTCAAATATCCTTGTACTAAAGGCGCCCAAATGTTAACTGGAACATTTTTGGGTCTTGATGGCGATATATTAACGAAGCATTAATGACACACAAATCAATAAGATATGTAAAGGGATTCCACCACCACTTTTTTCCTCGCATGTTTATCCTATACTCAGTTAAATTTCGGTCCATTTAGTCTGTTCCCCCCATATACTCATTATATTTTCCTATCACAAACGGCCGCGGTACTTGAATATTTTTATGTTGCTCCTTGGAATATCTCTTTACAGGGCGTACAGGTTGAAGACCATGACATGTTGAAACTACTGACACAACGTCGTTGTCTTTCCATCTAACAGAAAATATACCTGATTTTCTTTCTATGGCGCTACAGAATTGTCTGTAGTTTTTAATAATTGTGGATCAAGTACCCGTGGAAAGATTTTTTTTTTAACTTTTGATTTGGTTTGTGTTTGTATCCTCTTTCTTTCACCAGCTGCTTCGATTTTTTAATAGGAGCATTCGATTTTCGGACTTCTAGTCATTTCTAATATCTTCGGACTTCTCCCAATAATGACGTTTAGATGGGACTGAATTGTAACCACTCAAAATAAGGACTCCTATGAAGCATTTTATTTCATCATGTGTAATATATAGATTCTCTTGATTTTTAAAAGCTGTATATTTAGTAGTTTCCTGAGCCAAGTGTTCAATAATTTCATTTGTAAAAAAACATTTTAAATACTTCGATGGGGGTTTTATTTTTGAAAAGTTCATAACTCGATGTAGGAAAATCTCCTTTTACATATTTCAATATATCACCTTCAATATATTCTACGTTTTGTACATGATCTCTTTGATAGTACAACCTAGAACCAATAAATTCTGGAATTTCATTTACATTTCGTTGGGCAAAGTTTTCTGAATAATTATTAGTATTGGTCGTTTGTAACTGAAGAAAGTTCCGCCTTCATCCTCGTCTTCAGATTCTTCATCAGTAAGTACATTACTTGGTGGAGGTTCAACAAATATTTTTTTAGGGCTATATTATCATATTTTTTAAAATAAGCTCTATTGCTTCCTGTAGCGAAAATCCAGGACTGAAACAAAAAAAAAAGTTTAGTTGCCCACGGGGTCCATATGGGTACGGCATGAAAAAGTTTCAAATAAATGCAACTTGCACAAACATAAATTCATCAAACTGTATATTCTTATAAACTTTCAGCTGTTAGTAACGTATAAAACAAAGTTAAAGTAATAACTCCGAGCCTACCTCAAAATATCCTTTAGTACTTGAACATCGATAAGTTCATCCATTTTAACAATTGAAATAAAACGTACACGTTCACTCTACTGAAATAATTTCAATACTAACAAGAATTTACACTTCCTATAAACGTGCCAATACACTGATATCCCCTCCATTTAAAAACGATAAAATGTGAGAGGCTTGAAAATATAGCGTACCCATGTGGACCCCAGGGGCGGTCCCAGGTTAATATCCCTTTCTTTCACAATTTACTTTTATCAGAATATCGAATAAAATATGTTTCGCTTAATTGTAGATAATTTGGGTCTAGCGAACTCAGTCCCTTTTTGGTAAATGTTTTACTTTATTTGGAAATGTCCATTCCAAGTGTTCATTTAGACACAATTTGTCTAAATAAATTCAAAGCTCAAAAAAATTATTAACTTACAATTGTTTGTGGTGGAATTGTGTAAAACATTTGCTTCCTTTGACAAAACATAAACGAACACGACATCTAGTGCAAAACACATGAGTTTCTTCATTACAGCCAATGCTTGAACAGCGTGTAGCTTCTTTGTGGAGTTCTTCTGGGATTTATTATTGGAGAGTTTTCAACTTCTTAATTGAATTCCATTTCTTTCTTGTGAATTTTTTTTTGTGAAAAAAATAGTTCCAGCTGCAAAAATTGGTTTTTACGTTCATAATGTAGTTAATCAAACTCACATTTTTATATACATTTAAAATTAGAAGAATACATTAATAATAGGTTGCCAATCAAAAAGTGACCGTAAATATTTTATACCATATATAAAAGAGTAAAGCAGATATGATATTTTCAATGAAACGTTAAATGAATTTATGTGAATCTTATTTTGCAGTGCCAACTGTTAGAAAACAAACTCGCAGATAGTCAATTATTTTTTGAATTTGATAAAATTCCGAAGAAGAAGCAAAACGCTGAGTTCAAAACCGCTCTTTTACCTGAAAATGCAGCTTTCAATAGATTTAAGGACGTGCTTCCATACGAAGATAACAGATTAAGGCTTACACCTACAAAAAATAATAAATATGGATACATCAATGCATCTCACATCACAGTAAGTACATTATGGTTTTTTTCCTGCAAATCGTAACTTTTATTAACATTGTAACGATAATATTACTTTATCGTTACTTAGAGAGATAAATAACTTAATTCTGCCCGTCAAGTATGCGACCAACTATACATGTGCTTGTATTAAATGATCTACTTATCTTTTGGGTAAAATGTATGTTATCAATTGGTCAAACTGTTTACCTGTTGTTTCCGCTTAGATTGGAACTGACGGAAGCTAACGATTTTAAAAGTGTAAGGAGGAACTTTATATTCAATCTTTGAAGGGGGCAGAGGTATTCTCCAGCGACCAAAGCTACGTGGTTTGGAAAAGTTTATTCGGAGGCCAATTTAAATTAAAGAAGGCGTATTTGTTTTGATAATTATTTGAAGTTTTGGAAAAGAAGTTTTAGTTTAAATACTGGAATATTGTTGCTTTAGATGAGTTTCATTTTAATTAAAGTAAATCATTTTTTTTTAAACCATTGTTACTTTCATATTAATACCATTGTTTATTATTCAATAATTTTATCCTCATTATATCAGTCTAATCACGTTCAGAATTATTTATATTAGAAATTCTCCTAAGTACATTTTCTCATATCAATATCCAATAAATTCGGTAATGTAAGGAGATCCTTCATTACTATTTGTAAATAATATATTCGTCAAGATAAGTTAAATTTTATTTCTTCCTTGAAATATTCATAGTAAAATCCCAATATTCTTTTTATAAATACATAGTTTTCGGTTAATTTTCCAAGGTCACAAATAGTATACGAAACCTTTCACTAATTATCATCATTCGGGCTAGTTTTTCTTGTCTAGTCCTAACCGCCTTGTTTTTTTATCAAATCAGAATAAAGCTAATGAGAGCTTTCTTTGATTTCATTTTTAGTCGCTGGAGAAAGAAGAAAGAATATGAGTCAATAAATATTATTTTGGATTTGGGTACTGGATGGAGTTTAGTTTAGTTTAGTTGGAGTCTTTTTTGTTTTTTTTCCCTGGATTTTGGGAGTAGATGTTAAGTTTCTGGTGCTAGGAGAGTGAGGCTTCAAGCTTTTACCCGGACGAGTCCCAGTGGCGTTAAGGCTTCCGGAAGAAGAACCTTCTCGGCTTAAAAAGAGTCAGGTTTTTTTTATTTTTTGTTCTCATACTATTTTAAAAATAATTTACTTACATTTTGTATAAACTTTTTAGTGAACTGAACGAACCAATCTTAATAATAATTACAGTAAATTTTCTTAATTCATATGTGCATATATTACCTAGATTATATACCTATATAATATTCAATTTTTCTTAATATAATTTGTTTATTTTTGTCATTAAATATTTGAAGTATATTATGTATTAGTTATAACAGGGTAGGGGTGTATTACAATTCATTTATGTAAGGTAATGTGCACAAAGGTCCATTTAGTATTTTTACAGCCCTACTGGTTTTATCATTGGTTTATCTTGGATCTGTTCCTTTCCGAACAGACCAATTTTAGTAAATTTACAGGTTATCTGATTTGAATCAAATCAGAAATTGTCAAACTGGTACGTTGGTTTAAATATAGGGAAGGGTTATAGTTGTTTGGTTATATATATTTTGATTGTCAGTAAATTTTGTTCGAGTTAATGAATAAAACTTGATCGAAGGTTAAAAAGCATTCAATTCAAATTGTTATCAGAAGTTCATACTTTTCTAGTGCCCTAGGGAATGTAAAATATTTTGTATATTAAAAAAGGTTAATAGGATTTTCATGTAAGGGTATTTAAGTTAAATTGTACATTACATTGTTTACAGAGTTTCTACTTTATTATTATTAAATTGGGTTGTAAGTAATAATCTGTTTTATGAAACCACCTTCTTTTATATATCTGGTATATATCTAGTTACAGAATATCATAATTATCAGCAGAAATAAGACACTAGGCGAAGTGTTTATTAGACGAAGAGTCCAGTAAATATCTTCCCTGACGCCTTAACCATTCTTCTTTAGTACATTCCTGTTGTCAATACTTTTAGTTCATTTTATTTATCCTTATTCTTATATTGTCTTAGTTAATATCTAGATTTACTATTCTTTACCGTTTTCTCAGGGCATGCAAATAGGCCTAACCCTGCCTTGAGTATCAACTGGTCAGTCTCAAGCATACCCAGCTAGCCGAACTGCATTCAGTTTCAACTTTTATTTTTAAGTTAGTTTTAAACTTATCTTCATACTACTCTACAGATCTTATAACATCAGGGACCTTGTCCCAAGTGATCTTGATACGTTTTTGTTACAGTAGCGCCCAACGAGGCGCAACACGGGATTGTTACAACATACCTAACTCACCTTATTAAAAACAATAACATGGAATGGAAAAATCATATAATTAAATAATTCTCAATCTTAACAATGTAAAAAGGTACTGCTGATAATTACTACAGATTTCTCAAATTTTATCATCTTGACTAATACTTCTCTGTACCTCTGAGCTCTGTATACCTTGATGAGTTTTCCAGATGTTTTCAAAAAATGTTTGAAAAAATATAGTAATTTTGAGGATTTAATATTATGCAATTATCGATTATAAGTTCGATCATCCTATGATTTGGTTTTAATTTTCAGGCAACTGTTGGTAGCAAACAAAGGTTTTATATAGCAGCTCAAGGTCCTACAAGGCAAACGTTACCTCATTTTTGGCAGTGTATATGGGAAGCTGAAGTATATTTAATGGTGCAGCTTACAGATCCGAGTGAAGATTTAACTTATTTACCAGACGCAGGGGAGAGATGTATTGATGTTGATCAGGTAACGTCACAAACTTTTATTAGTACGTAATATGTTAGTAAAACGATCTTAAACATCCATATTAATTTTTTTTTTTGTTATAATCGAAACAATTTATTTCCATACTCTTTTACTTCGTTTAAGGCTGTTTAATCGGTGCACCAGAAGCTAGGGACAGTATTTTCTCTCTAACGTACGGTCAGTTCGTTCGCTTGAATCAGAATCCATTTTCAGTTATTCATTCTTGTATTTTCTTCATCAACTTGCTTAGTGTTTATAGTGTACAGTATTCTTAGTTATTTTGAAAACATTGAAATTCTTTAGTTTAGGGGTATGTTTAAGTAATATATTATTAGTTTAGTGATATAAGTTACAAGTTCTTTAGTTTACTCGTATTTTTAAGTATTATATTAGTTTAGTGATATAAGTTATAAGTGACAAGATAAGAAATGAGTCCCAGTAAATGACCAATTTTTTATAGATAAATAAAAACATTTTTGTTTAATTTTTACTAGGCTAAAATCCGTTTTCTCTAACAAATAAATAACTTCTTGATTTCATTTTCATGCTATGGCTGCGAAATTGTTAATTTGTTTGTGACAACAAATTGTAATTTTTTTGATAATAATATTTATTATTATTATTTCTTTTGTTTTAATATTATTTTTATATTAATATTATTTATTTTTATGTTATTTTAAATTTATTATAAATAAACACCATGATGTTTTTTGCAGTCACGTTTCACAAATTTTTATTTAATACCATATTTAGCTAAGACATATAAATTAAAAATGTGATAATTACACATAACATAATTGGACATAATTAATGTCATTTTAAAACATTATCTACGATAATCAATCTAAAAAGGTATTCCCGACAAAACTAATTTGAATTGAGAATAATGCATTTGTTGTCATTAAACTACCCGTTGGCCGGCGCCACTGAGTAAAGATGGTCTGACGTAAGCAGTGTAGAAAAGTAAGTGATACGCCCATTTAAAATCGCAGTGGTTTCACCTATGTCACCTATGGTCAAACGAAGGTTTCTCCTAGTTGTTCACCAGGTCAGCGAAAACCTTAATATATAGTTCAAATGTATCAACATTTCAACCTAGATTATAAATAATTTAAATACACTTACATAACTACCAAATGAGCCAGTCTTACTGTATTTCGTACATACTTCCTTTTCCGTAATATGATCTGTCGGTAACATGTTGCTGCATGTCAACATATTATGATTACTTGTCATCCTTAAAATTCATACAGCTGGTAAATAATAGTTACATAAAAATTAATATAAACACACCTACCACGTTACTTACATACATCCATTTCATTTGAAATCATGGATGTATTTCCATCTAAAACTATATCACATTGCACCATTTTGCTACAAGGACTTTCATTGTGTCAAAAAGTATTAGCGCCTCGATCTACTGCCTGGGCCATGCAAGATATGATTGACCGTTTCAGGTTCTCTGCTACAAAGTCTACAGCTTAAGTCTTTATGAAACAGCTCCGTGGTATACAGTTGTCCATTGGCTATCGAATGTTCAGTAAAAAGTCTCTGTTAGGCTTCTGAGCTGTTACATATCATTTAGTCTTAATTGTTTAAGAATTCTTGATGTATAATATTAATTCTATATATGAACTTTCTATTATGCGAATTGTTAGTCTAGTCTACTATTCAGACAGACCAAAGTCCGCCACTATTTCATTGCCAAAATTTACTTAATCAATGCTGCTAAAATGATACCGTTTAAAACCTACGTAACGAAACTTCACCATAATTTTATTATTACCTGTAGAGCAGCACATTATTTCGTCTTTTATTCATTGTTGATTTTATATAAAGGAAACAAGTCCCAGTCCTTAAAAACGTCCTTTTTGGTTTTAATAGTTTTCAAATCCAAATTTGCTGTATCACATGTCACTATCAAGTTTCTAAACTAAGTAGTTTCTTTCGTTTTGCTCAAAACTAAGTATTGTGGACTTATATATATCCTTTATACAATAAGCGATTCAATTGGCGTTTTCTGTATACAATAATTGCAAGTTTTATAAAATAGATATGTGTAACCTAAATGTTTCATTTTATTATTTTTTTTTTGTTACTTTATTTTTATTTTATTACATTTAATAGGACTACCAGATATGGTGGGAGTTCTCACAGAAAACAGGTCATTGCGTTACCAGTAAAGTACGATTGTGTCATGTAGCTTCAAGACGATATCGTACAATATGGCATCTACATTATACGGACTGGGGCGATCAAGGCTGTCCTAACTCTGTTGCTCATTTTTTGGGATTTCTAGAAGAGATGCAGTCCGTCCACCAACATTCTATGGGAGAAATTCCACCTGGGCATAACAAAAACCCACCTATTCTCGTTCATTGTACGGCAGGAGTCGGAAGAACAGGTCTTACCATTTTATGTGATTTGTTATTATATACTGTTGACCATAATCAGGTACGTGACTGAATTAGATATTAACCCTTTAACGGGCAGAACTATTTTTTTTTGTAAAAATATACCTTTGAATAGTAAAAGTAATTCATTATACATCATTAACGAGACACAAATGTTAAAAAAATTTCTTTATCAGAAGGGCTGGAAAGGGTGGTAGATATAGCTACCAGTGTGCATTTTGACAATCAACTAATACTTACTGGACAATGTAGACCGGTAGAAACAATTACAAAAATTTATAAAAAAATACTTTATTTTGAGAATATACAAAAAACTAAATACAAGGATATTTTAAATTGATTATCTAAGAACTTTCTATTTATTACGGTAAGGTGTAAAGCAGTCATTGCATAGAGCAACGTTACAAACTTGACAAATTAAATTGCTCCGCATTTGTTTCTTTTTAGACGAAGTACAAATGGCACAGCGCCGATAAGTTCCTTTGGTGGGTAAGTGTGAACCCCCAGAAACTACTGGGGGTGGAGATAGAGCAAGCAAAATAAACGATACTTGTGCGAACGGCACTCAGGGCTTATTTGGAGAGCTGGGGTCGTGGATAAGTGAAATGGCAAGGGGGTTGGATGGGGCAACTACAAAAATTAAACAAAGGGGTTACTTACATAAGTCTTTTCTAACAAATGGGCAAACAAAACACAGGAAAGACCTCTAGCAATTTAAAAAGGACGCCGCTTCGAGGTACCAAGCTATAACGATTACAACAACTAGTTATAACTAATGAAATAATTATTGGAAATGAAAAATGTATATTTTTTACATGAAACTCAAAAAAGGAGGTTAGAAAATTAGTCAAGATAAACAAACAAAATGGTTAAAAAAAATTAAACATTTATTGTGTCTCACCACAAACAGTTACAAAAATAAATGGCACAAATTACTAGATTAATAGTTACAAAAATTTATATCAAAAATAACAAAGAAAACTTATATGTCATCCGTTTACAAACTCTAAGAGTTGGAGATACTACAAAAACATGCAGTGTCAAATGTTACTGCATGGAGGTTAACGTTCTTTAAAAACAAAACAAACTAATAAAAAAATAATAATAAAGCTAGCTGTCATATGTCAACATTAAATTTTAAATCTTTTTAAAATTGACAGCTAAATTCAAACCCTAAAATTTACAATTTTTAATATTACAAATTTTAAATTGTATGAAAGCAATTATAACTTACAAAAACTGTCCATCTTTACTTTAAAATTTGATCACAAAAAAGTTACCTAGATTTCACAGTATAACTTTAAATTTCTGGAATTATAACTGGAACTATAACTGAACGAACAACTACATCTCACACTGCGATAGGACTGACTATTTCAGGTTGAAGTCGGCACTGAACACAAAACTTGGAACCCTGCCTCTTAAAAGGACTGGAACAATGTGGGCATATTTCAAATTTGTTGTTGACGATACAAATCGCTTAGGTACTTTTTCAACCTCCTCTGTAACTACAGCTACTGCACCATTAACTTCTACTACACACTAGAATTCCTTGAAAAGGGACTAAACACGAGAAATATTTCAAATTTGTTGAATAAATTGGGATACACACTGAAGCCAACTGGCGATTCCAATTCGACTTTGAATAAAATATTACAAGATGATTAAAATGTCGAGGAAGTACACATCTTTAAAATATAAACAAACTCTAAAATGTGTTTATATTAACTCGAACGGCGCAAAAATGAATTGAAATATATTTCGGGTATTTTAACTTTTACGATAGGAAACTGAAATAAACTAAAAATATTCTTCGGTTATCTTATTTTAATGCATATATGAAAGGATTACAATTTAATACATATACGAGGGGATTTCAATATATACCAAGGAATTTTATATATCAAGGAATTTAAAAATGCTACAAAACAATCTTTGTAATTAATATTTAATAATATTCTAATCTGTAATGCGTATCTATGGTTTCACATACAGACAATATATGTATGTAAAATATTATAATAATATGTATTAAAATGTAGTACAATATTGCCAACAATATAGTATAATGTCATTGTTTGGTAAATTGTATGTACCTATTTTTAAAAATTTGATTTAAATCATAAGTATTTTTTGGAACGCCACTGCTTTGTTTGGCGAGGCTTTACTGTTCCTAAAAATTTCCGCCACTACAGTTGAAACATACTCTATTACGGGGGCAAATGTTATGGAACTATCTTACTACTCACTGATTTACATTGATGAAACACACGATAAAAAATGACCCCGGAGAATTTACTTTTGACATTTAACATTGTTGCCGTTAGCTCTTTAGTCCTCTACTTTATAAACCATTTAAAAATTTACAATTTTCTATTAAATATCGTTTTTTTATCAAAATTACATCCTTTACAAATTTGCATGTCCTTTATATAATTAATATTTTATAATTTTCAGGAGGTCTGCATACCGAGGGTCGTGGGTCTCCTGCGCCACCAACGTGCCTATATGATACAAACAATAGCGCAATATCGGTTTGTTTATTCACTGCTAATACATTATCTTAAACAAACTAGGTTAATATAGCACTTCCGTTTTGTTTACCCAGTGTGTGCGTGCAATTTTTATGATATTTTATTGTATTAAACGAGATGATCTTTTAGATTTAGAAGCTTATTTTTGAAATGTGATACATAATTCGATCATTTACAAAGAATAATTATTCTGCGAGTGAATTTTTTTATGAGTTATAAGTTTTGCAAAATAAACCAAAGTTGCTGTCATGACAAATTAACCCAAGTTTAATGGATTATAATAAAAAATATGTTTAAAAGTTTTCGGTTAATTTTTAAATATCTACTTGATATATCTCCTCAATTTCATCAAGAAGTAGTTTTTTAGTATTTATGCGATTTTATTTATTTGATATTGATGCGATGGTCCAAAAAATTCCCCTTATTATCAAGTACTGTTATATACTGTTGTATACATAGGGTTGGCAAAAATCAAGGTTTTTTTAAAAAAAACCAAAAAAACAGGTTTCTTGGTTTAAATCAGGTTTATTTGGTTTAAACCAGGTTTATTTGATACAAAGTATTAAGTCTAAATACTTGACTAAATTAATGAAATATTTATAAAACAATAGTAATAAACAATGAAAACAATGATTAAGACAACTTTAATAACATTAATGATGTTAGTGTCAATATTTTTGTGGCTTTTCTACCACTTAATCGGTGTCACTTTTGAAGTGACACTGTTTTCAAAAAAATGATTTTGAAAAGGTACACTTTTTGCCTGAAAATTTACAATTATTGGTAAAACGTCAATTTCGGGATACTTTTCTTTTGCGAAGTCCAGCGCTTTTGAGGTCCCTTCCTGTATTAAATCTAAGTTAGGAGATTTTTCCCTTGGGTCAAGCAGATATGATAAAAAATATGCTTGTGTCATTGCCATTTCATACTGACTTTCGAATTTTCTTATACACTCCTCATTGCTAATATTTCTGAACTTGTTTTCAAGCTCCTTCCATATACACGTACAGAATCACTAATTGTACATGTATTACTTTGTACTGTATCAAGTGCTAAAGAAATGGGTTTAAGTAGTAAAAGCAACTCTTCTGCACTTCTTTTAATTCCTACATGCCTTACTTTAGCCTGTATATCTTTGTCTATGGTCTGCCTATTTTCTTCACAAATTTTTAGCAATGTTGACCAAGCTTTAATAGAAGATTGTAGACAATCGCACATTGTATTCCATCGAACTTCAATGAGTAGAACAAATTTTAAATTTTCAGATTTGCGGTAACATGCATTTGCAAAATAATTATTACGAAAGTGTTTAACAATGCTAACTATGTGTTTAGCAATATTGATATTGGATGATTGGCAGTCGTTGGCCAGAAGGTTTAAAATATGCGCAGAGCAACCGTATGTATTAATATCAAGATCTAGCCGGTTCTTTAGTAGGCAACTCGTTTTCGTTACATTAGCACCATTATGTGTAACTACTGAGCGAACTTTGCATTTCAATTCGCCTTCAGACTTCTTAATGCTATCATATTTAATTGAATCAAGGTAATCTGCAGTCTAAGCATGGCCTGTCGTATGAAACCTAAGCAAACAACTTCATGTTGTATAAAATCGCGAAATTTTTGCATCTCCTCATCATAAATATTGTCAATCAGGTGTCCACTTATATCTTTTCGACTAGGTGCTTGTAACCAGGTCGAAGTTCTTCTATGAGACTTATAAACTGTGGATGATCAACATGTTTAAATGGTGAATTTGTAGCAAATGTATAACGTGCTATTTGCCTGTCTAGAGCCTCCTTTTGTTTTTACTTGTTTTGATATGAAAGGATTCCACAGAACTTTCAGTTTGGCGTCTTTTTCGATTTTGAGCTACTAGTTTAGATGATTGGGGATTAGAAGAAGTACTTGGTTCTGGACATCATTGTATCTCTGTCTTCAGTGCCTTCACTATCGTTTCGCTTCGTTTAAACAAAGGATACAGAAGAAGAAGAAGAGGACAAAGAAGAAGCCCCATCAGAAGTCAAAGTTTCTTGAGTATCTGAAAACAAGAAATATTTTTGTTTACGAAACAAAGAAGTTTTTAATAGGGCTAAAAGAAACAAAAAATAAAGCATGAAAAGCTTCTAGTTTCTTATACTTTTATAAAAACTTATTTAATAGATTCGCAAATACAAAATACACAAAAATGGGGAGGAAGAATAGAAATATAACTATATATATCAACTATAAATTTATAAATATGGTATTAAAAAACAAAATCTGGGTTTTATTTCTTTTTGTCATACTTTTGCCATCTTGAATTTTAAAAATGCAGGAATATCAAAATAAGTCAAATTTTAAATAACTCTGACATTGTTCAAAATTGGTACCAAGTGAAGAAATAGACCAATACAAAAAGCAGATAATAAAACTGTTCGTGTATAAGAATGTAAAAAATTAATATTGGTAATTATTAATTTGCCATGTTAATTTAATAATGTTCATTTAAAGAGTATAGGAAGAAAGTATGAAAATACAGTGCAATTTAAGCATTTTTCTTACCTTCAATGTTATCATCATTATCATTATTTCCAAAAGAACATTTTTTGATTAAGTGATTCTTCATTCTTGATACCTGACCCTCTAAAGATATCCCACATTTACACCTTGCTCTTAAGTTTAATACTTTCAAAGGAATTCCATACTAAGTCACGTCTTCGTCCACTTAAACCTGGCATTTTCTCTTAATATGAACTGTTATGCTGTAATCACAGAAGATCAACTTGGGAATCTCCTGTGCCACCTGATCGCCACACTATCACTCACAGTGAAGTATGCTATGGGGGAACCACCTGGTTGAATAATAATAAAATACAATAGGGATGTTCAAAAGGGATCTCCATCGCGACCGGTCTTGAATTATTATATTTTTGTTGAGATAATAAATGAAGAAAAATTTAAATACATATTACTAGTGTAAAATTACATTAGTTTTAATTATTAGAATAATTGAAAATATATTAATTTAAAAATTTAATCATCAAATTTGTATTTGTAGTTTTTTGAGGTGTAGTTTTCATTATTAGGATAATATCAACAACATAGAGAAAAAAATCAACAAAAAAAACCATGGTGTAAACTAAGGTTTAAACCTGCCAACCCTGTGTATACTGTTAGTATGTTTGCTCATTTGGACAATTTGAACAAATTTATTCATTATTAATGATATCCTTTTTTAATTTCCTTCCTCACATTAATGTAATCATTCATATTTCCTCATTGTCTTTTTTCAACTATCCAACATTGAGTACTGTACACTATAGCTATTTTTATGACAATTTTGCAATGCAATTCCATCGGTTTCGATCACATTTATTGTCTAGAAAGAAATATTTAACAATCGGACAACACTGCCTATTATTTATTAATGATTTCTGTCAGTTTATTATAAAGTATATCGGAATAGTCAGTCGAAACTGATGTTTATTACGAGATTCCAAAGGAGCTTTTCAATCGCTGAAGTTTTAAAAATTAACCGTAAGCTCTGTTTTATTTGATGGTCATTTATTGTTAATTAAAATACAATCATCAAAAATCTCTAGGAATAATTTATAACATTTTTAATATCTTATTTATTGACGAAAATTACTCATTTTTAAATGTTGTACTTTTATATTTAAAAATATATTTTAAAAGTTTAAAGAAATATGGTTCAAAAATCCTAAAGTGATTTATTATTTAATATTGCATGTCTTTCTTTTCTAACCTTATGGTAATTATTTTGGACAGTTATACGACTCCGATTGAAAAAGAAAAATATCAATATGATTCAACCTTTGCAAGAAAGGGCATAGTCGATTTCCTCTTGGCCAACAGACATACCTGTAATTTACCAAATTGTTTTTGATAAACCAAATTCAAATTTGAATGCGCTTCTCCTACCAACCTTTATTTTAATATCCTTGAAATATATCATTGGAAAAGCCACTTGCGACGACTCCATTTGTCAAGTAATCCTACTTAACAACTTTTGACATTTGTCGAGGTTAAACGTTTTAGTCACGATTTGCATTCGTTTATCTACTGTTCGTTGCAAGATATTTCGGATTTAATCTTCTAGGTATAGTTATATACAGGGTCGGACTTATATACTGATACATTTTATCAAAATTACGGCAATCCCACAAAGTAAAAGAAAAATACATATAAGTAATATTTTTAACTACTCTATTTATAATATTTGGAACTGTAAGTATTTTTCTTCTAGTTGTTTGACATGCTCTATACATTTTTTCCAATCAAGAATTCACCAAGATTCAACAAAGAATCCAACCAATTTTCAATATATGTCTGCAAAACAAAAACATCCCAATAAATGGAAAAATTCATTTACAATCATTTTTCATAACACAGGAGATAAATAAGATCTTGAAAACTATAGGCCTATTAGCTTACTCAACCACCTATACAAGCTCTTTACTCGAATACTGACAGATAGAAAGTAAAACTCGGTTTCTATCAGTCAGAAGAACAAACAGGTTTGAGAATCAAGCCACGGAACAAATGACCATCTACTATGCCTTAAAACTCTAGTCGAAAAGTATATCGAATATAATAGACCTCTGGTTCTTATTTTTTTATATAGAAACAGTGACTACATGTATGGCAGAACGGTGCGGCAGGGAGATACATTATAGCCATTACTATTTACAACAGTCATGGAGTAAGCATTTAACGATTAGAGTGAGGCTCAAAGGGATTCGATCCGATCATTGTTCAACAACGACTACGAGACTAGAGTTTGCTAAAACCTAAACAATTAAGGATGACTAAGGAAACAAAATGAAAATATCGTCCCCAATGAGCCAATAGAATCGAGAAATGGCCCATAGAAGTTGTGAAAAGATATGTGTATTTGGCAACAAAATAGATTAACGCGATGAAAACCAAACTTGTGAGTTACTCAGATTAAGTTTAGGTTGGACTGCAATCGGAAAAAAGGGAGACGTGTTTAAAACAAATGTCCATATCCATTTAAAAAGGAAAGCTTTCAACCAGTGTGTTATACCAGTCGTCATACAGCAGAAAACTTAACTCTCACGAAAACATCACTGGAAACATTGAGAAGAGCATAACATAAAATGGATTGATCAACGCTTGGAATGAGCTTGAGAAATAGACTAAAAAACGAGGGAGTTCTCAAACGAACCAGAGTGGAAAATTTTATCGAACGTATTACAAGCAAAATGGAGATGAGCCGGACATGTTGCAAGAATGAAGACGTCAGTTGGACAAAAAAATTGCTTTTTGCCGAAGCCGAG